ACCTTAACAGTCAGCTGGAATCTAAGTTTAATATACTCTTATTTTAATATTTGTTGGTTTTGGATGTATATGCCTGACAAAACATTACATTTCATTTGAACATGCAACCATACTCTATTGGACATTTTGATGGCCATTTTGATCTATTTCGTAATATTTTATATCTTAATGATGACTCAGGTATTTATTAAATCCAAAAACATAATGAATAAATATGGAAAGATTTGATTAAAAAAAATGCTCCTTTGTGGGTTCAGGAACTGCTGTGGGGCCTTGGTATAATCAACAGATGATTGGAAATATTCAATTCTAACCTCACTCAGAGTATGTTGTTCGAACAGAGGATAATGTCATGTGTTTCATTATGTTTCTCAAAGCTTGGACTCAGGCGGTGTCGGTGACACAGTACAGCATGTGGGTAAAGTTGTATAGAATAACTCCATTCTGTTTGACCATGGGAACCAGAGTACTTTTGGAAGACTTGGAAACGTGTATCCCGGTAGGACTTCATGGTGCCACCCACATGTGAAGGCCTCTAATTAAGGAGTCAAACTGACTTTCAAATGTTACCCCCCAAGTGCAAATATAGTCCTGCATGTGCTTAAATAGAAACTAACTGCACCGTTATGTAATTACACATTTGGCTCTAGTAAGTAAAGTTTATTTATATAAAAAAGGAGCTTCTCACTTTTCCCACATGCTATATGTTTACACTACTTGTCCAACAGTTTATTGAAATAGAAGTTTGTCCCATTTTCCCCTTTTGTACATCTAACAGTGAGCATAATTTAAAATAAAAAGCTCTACGTGTGACATGTCAATCAAATGAAGCATGGCTGTGGGTTAGCTAAATACAAGTGTCCTTGAATGAAACCATACTCCTGTGGAAAAACAGAAAAGATAAATAAATGTCTGCTGGATAAGAATGAAGACCCCGGAGCTGTTGGTTGACCCCATGTTGCTTTGAACACTTAACCTCTGACCCTGAACCAGGTTAAGGGTTGTTAAAGATTTCTACAAACCTATAACCTTGCATAGAAAGACACACCTATAAAAACACTTCTATAAGTTGATGACAAACTCTATAAATAAGTGTCAATAATGATTGAGCTACCCTTATAAACTTCTCAGAGCGTTTTATTTCATGTCTGGGAGCCTCAACTCTTGACGCTAATATAGCTAACATAACTAATTATTTGGTTTCACTTGTGACAACCATGAATATGGATTAAGTGTTTTCTTTGTTCTTCTAATCCTTTTCTTGTGTGTCTTCTTGAGAGCAATGTCTCAGGATCACCTTGAGAGATTTCCTTAAAATGTGGCACCGATATCCACTTGGCGTCAAGGATAAACTGATTAGAGTTTGATGGTCAAAAGGTGAAAGGACAAGGACACCGTGGCCTGTTATCCGTTCTACTTGAACACGATATCTCAGAAATACCCGCTTGGTCTGATTACATTTTGGCGGTCAAAAGTCACCTACCAAAGCATGTTTTTGGAACAATTCATATCCTAATTATGAACAAATTGTAGTGTAAAGGAAGACGTCTTTTCAATATTGAAAATCTCCAAATTATTCTGCAAAAATACTTTTCTGGAACAGAACAGGAGGTTGTAACCATATTTCATATTTATCGGATACTGAACACTTATGTTGGGTCCCCACCTTTAAATTGGTGATTGTATTGATGTGTGTTAAGCATCCATGTTTTAAAATGTGTATTTTCCTTTTGTACCAACATCCATATTTGAAGCAATTTCTACTTTTAGGGCTACAACTTGGGTTATAGCAAAAGCCTTTTAGGCCAAGGATGTGAAAAGGATAGAATAAACTTGACTTATTTTTTCTCTCAAACAAACTCATATACATACAGCAGAACAACTTGACTAGTTTGCAACATTATAAAACCCTGGGCAGTATTTCTAGTTAGTTTATGGATTTGTCATGATAGCACTGTTGCTAGCTGCTGCACCTGTACTGTAGGTTTTCCACTCCTTGTTGCGCTAAGTAGCCAGTTGAATTAATACTTAATATAATGTTCCAATATCTCTTGGTAAGAACTCTGTTCAAATATTTATTCAGATTTCAACCCAATGAGAGGATAGCACAAATTCCAAACAGCAAATTAACAGACCGTTCAGACGTTAGCCGTAAGCTAGCTGGCATCAAACGGACTCACTGTGTGGTGGAATGAGTTTGTGTATTTGCGTCTTTCCATTGACTTTTTAAATAATTGAGCCTTGAAAAGACAGATTTTTCATAATAAACAAAGATTATGTGGTTTTAAGAATAAAGTGTGTCCATCCATCCATCCATCCATCTTCTCCCGCTTATCCGTGGTCGGGTCGCGGAGGTAGCAGTTCCAGCAGAGAGCCCCAAACTTTGACTGGGGGATCCCAAGGTGCTCCCAGGCCAGTGAAGAGATATAATCCCTCCATCTGGTTCTAGGTCTACCCCTTGGTCTCTTCCCAGCTGGACGTGCCTGGAACACCTCCCTAGGGAGGCGCCCAGGTGGCATCCTAACTAGGTGCCCGAACCACCTCAACTGGCTCCTTTCGACGCGAAGGAGGAGCGGTTCAACTCCGAGTCCCTCCCGGATGACCGAACTTCTCACCTTATCCCTAAGGGAGACACCAGCCACCCTGCGGAGAAAACCCATCTCGGCCGCTTGTACCCGCGATCTCGTTCTTTCGGTCATGACCCATCCTTCATGACCATANGGCAACCAAAACCAGACAGGGAGCAGGCAGGAACTCGAGAACCGTAAACAGGCAGGCAGGGATCAAAAACCAGGAAGGACAAAAATCTAGACTAGAGACCAACACTCACTGGAGAGCTTGGCGGAAACGACAAGACAATCTGTCAATACAAGATTATGGTCTATCTGTGGCGTGATTATTGAACTGACTAAAGCCCCTGTCACACTGTCCCAAAATTGACACCCGATGGACACACGAATATGGAATTGTGAATTTCGCACGAAGATGGCCCCGAACCACACACGAAGGCAACATTTACATTAGATTTAAGACATACAACTGCAAAGAAAGTAACACAAACAATTATGTTAAAGTATTATGATACTGTACTGATATTTTCCGACTTTGTTCTTTACTTTCTCCGTCTTTATATGTAGAAGATATTAAGTTTTCTCCGTCATGTTGTTTCCATAGCAACAACAACTTCCTTGCCTTCAAAATAATATATTATATCCTTTTTAGTTTCACAGAACACAAATTGGGTTATTTACATAATATGTTTACATGATTTTGTTGTGCAATAAAACAACCAGATGGACACACGATAAAGGAAATCTTCAAATTCGGCTCAGATCGTAGCAACACCGGGCCATTCGTGAGGGCATCTTAAGCCATCGTATGACCGCTGGTGGAGTTTCCCACCACTCCCAAAGTTGCTGCCGGAGCCTGATAAATTCCACCGGCGGTCATACGATGGCTTAAGATGCCCTCACGAATGCCTTACGAAGGGCAAAATGGACACACAAAGTCAACACAAAAATGAACCTTCACAAGGTCCTTCGGCAATGCTTTGTGATGCCAAAGATGTTGCCACCGCTCCCAAAGTTGCTGCCGGAGCCTGAGAAACTACCGGCGGTCATACGATGGCTTAAGATGCCCTCACGAATGGCCCGATGTTGTTACGATCAGAGCCGAATTTGAACATTTCCTTAATCGTGTGTCCATCGGGTGTCAATTTCGGGACAGTGTGACAGGGGCTTTACGGAACATCACTTTTCTTGGGGAAAAGAGCTCCGGGGATCTGTGGAAATCCCACCTCTGACACCAAATGTTACAAATATTGTGTTGGAAATTACTAAGAAAAAATTAAAAGATGGCGTGAGTCGCAAAAAAAATATTAAAGTGCTTTTATTTACAGAAAAAACGTTTTTAAAAAAACTAAATAACATGGACGACCAATCCAAATAAAAAATAAAACATATAAACACAGCCTGCAGAAAATGTTTCAAGTGTACCTGTCTGCTCTACAGCCCTCATCAGCCCCCCCAAACACATTGGTGGCCAGCGGCTTTTATGTGTTAAGCCCCTCCCCATAGGCCAACCAACTATTTATCAAATGATTTAATGTAATTGTAAATAACCACACATTTATTACAATTTATATTAAAATAATTAAACACAATAAATCAAAAGAGTCATCATATGATGCTACTGTCTGGCAATTAAAGCCCTAAACACTGACATTTGTAAGGAATTATTGTCACCCATGGTACAACATGGTCCAATTGAGCCCACCTGTTCGGAATGATTGAGGCTCTCTTTAAGGCAGCACTATTCTGTTCTTCTGTTTGGGACTCAGGAACTGGGAATGAGAGGAACAGCAGGTTACTTTGGCACAGTGGAAATAATTTTTGTTTTAAGTATGCTTAAAATAAAAACTGTTTTGAAATAATATTGATTTGAGTGATTATTTTACAAATGTTGGGAATAAATTAACTGTAAAGTAATTGTAGTGCGAGGACTCAATGGATGTGTGTTTGAATGTGTTGACTGAGTGGGCCTTTCGCCATGTGCCATACGCAAAAAGGGACAATGTCTTGTCACAGTGATCATACATTTTTATTGCGAAGAATGTACTGTGAAACAATGCATGCATGTTATTTTTATAGCAATGAGATTAAATAACCGCTTTTTCCAACATTTAAAAACAGGTCAAATTTGATTCGAAGACAACAGGAAGGTTAATTGTATCTGAGTATTTCAGCATAACGCAATACATGCCAGAGTGTAACAATCACAGCATTTATATTGGGAAGTATTAGCCAACTAACAGCAGATGATATTTGAGTTCCATCACAGGACAAACACTTTCCATGGAGCTCTTGCTTTTGACACCTCCTTGACAGCTCAACTGTCATGAATCATTCCGGACCACAGTGTTTGGATTTGTCCACAATGTTTGGGAAATGTTTACGAGCTGTGAAGTTAATTTTCATTTTGTTCTCTTCTGTTTTCTCTAGTGTGCCGCATAGCCTGCCACAAGAAATGTGAAGTCAAGGTAAGAGTGAAAACATTTTGTATGAAAAAAGATACAAAAACTATAAAAAGTCATGATTCAAAGTTATCGCAGTTTTGTTCTTAAGCATCGGATACGCCTTGCACATTGAAAAAGAACACAAGACTCTTAGACCAACGGAACTCGTCCTTTGAAATCCATCTGAGCTTATCAGGAGGAAATACTATGTTTAGGTGGAGCCAGCTACTCCTCTGTATGTGAGCGATGTACATGCAGATGTTGCGGTAGGTGGAGTCTAGGGAGTTTATGTTCTGCAAAAAAATCTTGAGAATGTCTAAACAAGTGCTCCTTGTACCCGAATGTGTTTATATTGGACAAACTCGCACATCGCCCTGCGTCTATAAATAAAAGACCTCTGGATGGAGGAGCCGAGGTTTGATTCATCTTGTTTTGGAAAGACAAAGAGCACGTAGAAGAAAATGGGAGGGAAAACAGATGAAGTTCCTGCAGGGCTGTTAAAGAGGGAAGGTTGTGTGTTTTGTGTAAGAGTACGACTGCCAGGAGGGGTTTACAGGAGGATTTGCACGCATGAGCACGCATGTGCACGTGAACTCACACGCACATATACAGTTCATGTGCACACCTTTGAATATACGCACCCTTCATCTGGTATCCATTACTGAAATGGGTGCTGCTTGCCAGCTTTGCCCAATCCCTCTTTTACTCACAGGAAATGCCAGGGGTGCAGGGCAGACAAGCCACGCTCAGGATAAGGGGGTGGGGGGGGGGGCTTTAGCCAACCATTTATGCATTATTAACGTAACTTTTACCACCAGAAACGCCAGTACAGTTACAGGATTTAATGGATAGGTTTACCAGAATGAAAAAAGGCAAGCTGTTTTCCCTAACCACTAGATGTGGAGAAAATAAGACTTGCCTCCACCCCAAAAACACAGAGGGTGAATGACGCATTGAATGCAAAACATTTGCACAACTCAAAAGTGATGTTTCTTTTCAGAAGCAATCACCGCTTGTGGTACTAATGCGAGCGCTGTACCGAATAGTCTGAAGCTTAATTCAAAACGTTCATATTTCAAATCAACATAAGAACACTTCTCACCTTTTATTTATATTTTTGCAGAATTAGATTCCAGTTATGGCTGCATAAGATTGCTTCTGACTCGTGCAATTTTCAATAACTCCAGAGCATTGTAATGTCCAAGAGTCTATACATTTAAATATAGTCCACCGCCGTTGCGAGTCTCCGGCTGTAACAGTCCACTACCGCCCGATTCCGGCCTGAGGTCCAAAACATTTATTTAAAAAAATAAATAATTCATCGCGTCCATTCGCGACCCACCTATCACATCTCTTTGAGAAACGCTGGTCGAGCAGCAATTCAACAACCCAGTTACATTTAAACAGCTACTATAACAAGAAAATTATTTTCTATCAAGACAGCCAATCAAGCCGTATTCAAAACTTCAAAAGCTTCCAATTGTTATTACAAAATGTTTTAGAAGGTAGGGAAGTATAGTTGCCTACAATTTTTTCACTATTTGGGAAATCTGTGTGTGAAAGTTGGTGACTTATTTTTGCAATTCTCTGTTTAAATGGGTCTTATTGAGGTTACATTTTTAGCTTCAACATAAGGTGTCAAAATTTGCCAAATGTTGCAAAAAACATGCACACAGCATACTTGTTGATAACATTTGAATTTCAGGAAGTGGTGGGTCGAAATTGTGGGAGGAGACGGTAAAGGAGCCCAGAACAAACTTCCAATGTCTATATATACAACAAGTGGAACGTTCCATCTCCAAAAATCACAGCAGCATTTCCTTTTCTAAACATTTCAACCAAAAAAATGTCATAGCGTTGGCAGGAAGCAATTTGCTAACAAGCCCGAGATGAAAAACAAGGGAGGGACCACGACAGGGTCAAGCCGGATCTCTATCGGCTCTGTCAGGCCTGTGAGACCGTTTTATGAATTATTTATTTTTTATAAAAAAGACGATAAAGCTCATATATGACCGTACATGTTAGGAATCTGAACTCCTGATCATAACTCTGAGCTTTATCCTAAGTACACACTACCGTTATCAATCTCTGTCTCCAGATAAGACTAATATGTGGCCCATATTTAACCTGGCAACTGCAAACAAATGGTCCGGCTTATGTAAGTGTGTGAACATGTGTGTGTGTGTCCCACCCTTTTGTGTGTTTGCTCTCAACTGGATGTGAACAATTCTTTCAATCTTGTCAGTAACATTTCCCTCCTGAGTGCTGACAGGAGAGATCCAGAGAGTGTATTAGACCGGAAATATTTCAAGGTCCTCTTCCAAATGCTTGTACATTTGTGCTGAATACCTGACCTGTCATTTCTTTCATGCGTCTTCCTCCTTTGCCCGAACTTGACCTCACAGTAGTAGGATGTGTTTCCCACTGTGCTGCTGTGAGAGCTTCAGTGGTGAAGCCTTGGTCACACTCACGCTATTTTCTCGAGCATACAGTGTGATAGAGTGGTGCAGGAATGAGTCCAAACCCTAGAGTTAGCATTCGCTTGTTTTGGTTAGATTTCCGAAATATTGTCTGTATTAGCTTTAGACATTTTAATATTTTGTTCTACGACATAAATTATGTCATGAAAAACCCTATGACATGGAGGTTGCTAACGAATAGCAAAAGCTAAGACTACTAAATACAGGGCCGCCCCTCACCACGCAGACTGCGTGGGGTCTCATCTTGTGGAGGGAGCCTCAGTTGATGCGCAAATGCGGCGCAATTAAGCGCTCGCAGTTCACGCGCGTGCTCCACTCGCACCCC